AGGTGCGGGCCACATTGCAAGGCCTTGCGGGCCAGATTTGGCCCGCGGGCCTTGTGTTTGACATGTGTGATATAGAATATACTTTAAAGTAAATTAATTGAGAAAAGTAGGCCATGCTAACACAAATCAAAATGAAGCAGAAATAGCTATATAATTTTAACATTTGAAAATAAATTAATTTAATTCATTACATCATAGGCTAAAAAAATCACATTATTATATCAATATATGTAGAAAATAGATTTGGCACAATTCAACATTTTTTCATGATAAAAACTCAGCTCACTATGATTCCTGAACATGATATAGGACATCTACAAAAGCCCATAGCTAACATCATACTTAATGGTAAGAAACTGAGCATCTACATCACACATGTCAAACAATGATGTGAGAGAAGCATTAATCGATTTCCTCCTGCACATGCCAGGGCTGGAGGCCAAGCCTATAACTTGGGTATGTGCCCTGACCAGGAATCAATGTACAACTGAGCCACACTGACATGGGTAAATATTTCTTAATTTAGTCTTGAAATAGGTAAAGTAAATGTTTTGGGGACCCTTTCTCCTCCCCACGTGGGAGTCCATTCTGTGGGACTCTTTCCCTCTCCCCATGTGGAAATCTGTACTTGTTCTTCAATAAATTTCCACCTTTGCTATATAAAAAAAAAATGTTCTAAACACTACAATATTGTTTACCACCTGTGAAAAGTGAGAGAAATGATGTTCATTTACAGAATTATATAGAAAGGCTTAATGGAGAAAACAAAAAAGTATAACATAGAAGTGTACCACCAGCATGGTGTATTTCACTCTATGAATTTAAAATGAAATTAAACTTTTGACTTTTGAACTAACAAACACACAGTAAAAATCCACCTTTATTTTTATAATTTTATTAATACCTATATTAATATAAGAAAACATGCAACACAGAACCTTGAATAGAACAATTAATACACATTTGCCACTGGACTACATACTGCCATCCTGGATCGTACAATATTCAACCTTCTCACTTCCAAAGCATAGCAAGAGCTGCTTTGGGATACCGTTCACTTTCAGATACTGTATGATGTCACAGAGGAAGAATCTTCTCCAAATACAAACATAAATCTATATTTCATAAAATTCCAAGTATTTTAAACAAAGATAGCATAAATTTCAGTATTTTATTTTTAAAAATACACATACAGTCACGAAACAATTGCCTTCATGTATATTTTTTCATTTGTGCACACACATTTTTCTGAGTAGCCTTTTCCTTACTATTATCAACTGTCAGCTGTTGTCAATTTCACTGATTTTTAAAAATCACGTTTACTGCAAGCACATGTATTGTTAATGTCCAAACACTACTATGAATGAATATTTTAAGGCATCTGCATGAAATTGCTCTGATGTGGTAATTGGCACATAATGTAAAAAGTTTTTTTTTGTTTCAAATACAGTTCATCTTCTCTTGTTTCCACATTTTCCAGGGAATTTGTGCAAATTGGAAACAGCCAAAATAGTGTGTAATGGTTGTGATGAAAATTTTTTGAAAATGTAAGTACAAATTTGGTTTGAAACAAATATGAAAGAAGAAAAACAGAAATAAACAAACTGGAAAATATGAATCAAAAGAGTGTTAAAAAAACTAAGCAACTAGATGTTCATAAATAAATATATATTAGGAGGTATATACACATTCAGTCTTAATGTAAATAACAAGAAACTAATTTTGACAGATACCTGTGGGTCAATTTTACTTAAAATTTCCATAACTAAAAAGGATTTTGTGTGTATGTGTGTGTGTGTGTGTGTGTGTGACATGACTTAATTATAAGGAAAGACTGCACAATTTGTGACTTTTTGGTCTACTTTTACTCATTTTAATGAAAGTGTGTGACAAGTATTAGTTTGGGAAGGCAGAGGCTCTTCATAAATGTCACAAATACACAATAGCACTAATTTTTTTTAACAGACATATTTGGTAACCAAGTTTACATTACCAGAAACAAAATGTTAATCGCTAAATGAGACTACAAAAAATATACTCTCTAAATTTATTACACTGTCTGTACCAGTTTGTTTTTAATATACCCACACAGTATTAGCTAAAACTTGAAGATAAGATTCAATAAAAAATGTGTATATACTTAGCATATAGGCTATACAGTGTTTGAATACATACTTATAAATGTGATATATTAATGCTATAGCTAGTAAATTATTAACTACATATAACTGAACACAGCCACAAAAATTGAATAACCAGTCTCACTGAACATATTATAATATTTGCCATTCAATTTGAAGTTTTTCTTTCAAACTAAATAAAATCTCTCTTTTTTTCAAGGGAATTCTTTTCAATTGATGGTAAAACAATACTTTTTCTACTTCTGAGTCTAAATTTTTGCACATCAGAAGAGCCACCTTCAAGCTTTGTCAATCTATAGCTCTGTCCATCCATTCAAAGAAAGAATTTGCAATATGATGAGAAAGATCTCATCAGATCTGAAGCCTTGGAAGTTACAGGCTGCCAAGGCCAGACCTGTGGAAGCTTTGAAAGAGAATGAACAGGGGAGAATAACTGGGATCACTCCTTTTGCCTTTTTGGCTACTTCTAGCCTGCTTCCATTCAATGTCGTTCTGGTATAAACCCAGAAGAGGATGCCCAGTCTTTTAATATTATTAACACAGTCTAAGCCTGACCATATAGTCAGAGTTAGAAAGGGCAGTAAAAGCATATTTGTTCATTTCTATATCACTAGGAAAGGTATCAAAATATTGCCAATTTTTACATAGAAGGAATTAAGAACCACACTTAAAACTCAATAAATCACATTATATAAGAAAAAATCTCTAAATATCTAATTTTGGTTCCTATTCTGATTTTTTTCAACATAATACTTAATCATATTACTAACATATTTTTTTCAGTTTCCCCCTTTATCTCTTTTTATTTAATTTGTGTGTATAGACCACAACTAAAATGTATAAATAAGAAAATGTGAAAATAGCTAAATAGAAGAAGATATTCTCACACATTTATCTTCCCTAGTTTTTAGAGAGAAAAAAACCTAAATTCTACTGGAAGCTCTGATTTTGTCATTTTGGTTTTCTTTATCTTCCCCAGGTTTAAATCTTCATTGTCAATAATATCAGCAACAATATCAACAACTACACACAGTCATATTTCAATAAACTTTCAATCATCATCAGTCTTTCAGGACATGCATCTGGACTACCAGTATGCTCCAAACCTCTTTAAATATTAACAAATACAATGGAGAAAATATTAACAATACTAATTAATTTGAAATTCCACTAATTAAAGTCTTGTAGTTATAAGTGAATAAGTTGTTCTACACACCAAATCAAATATAATTTAAAGAGTCTCATAATGAGAAGAGTCTCATATTCTCAAAAAGCTGTGTAATCTGCTGGGCACAAGAAGAGAAGCTTTCTCAACATTCAGTGGGAACCTTCACCAATGAAATTATACATTTACCACACTTTATATTACAACATTTACACCCAGTTTAACCATAAATTACATATATATTCAAGTTACACATTACAAAGTCTACATCTAATTTAATTAACAAGAAATATTCACTCACCCACCCCAATTAATACATCAATTGTCTCTCGATTTAGTGTAATATGGAAACAAGACATTTTATTGGTTTTGCTATGGAGGAAAATTGAGTTGGTGCTGTTTCTGTATATTGGTGAAATGTGCACATAGACAATCATTGCCAGTTATAAGGACAAAAAAAAAAAAATTAAAACAGACAACAGAAGGAAACTAATGTTTCCAAGGAATACTACTGTATTATTTGCTTAGAACATATTTTGTTGTCATATATGATATTTTGTTGTGTCTTTTTTGTGTGCCTTTTTTATGACTGCTTCTTGGGGTATTTTTCATCTATCCCAAGAAGCAGTCATAAACCTCATATCTCCCTCTGCACATCTCCTTAGAATTCTATACTGTAACATCTGTAATGTAAATTTATAATTCCATTACTTGAAAAGTTCTTTCCTGACTCTGATCTTGTTATCAGTGGTTGTCTTTAGTTAGTGGAGCTAGAATGGTAAAAATCCCTTAGTCATATAGGTTTATTATGTGGTTTTATCTACCGTGATATTCACTTGTTTACTTTTTTACTGAACATCTTTTGCTATCAGCATATTCAGCAGTTATAACAACATTTAAATCTTCTTGATAGTCTTTAGAAAATAGCAGTTTCCAATCATAGGTGTAAATGAATCATCCATTAACTGCATTCTCATTCCTTGTGATTTTCTAGGCTGTGGTTTTTCCAAAAAAGAAAGACCCAATTTATAATGGAACATAGGCTTAAAATGGCAGATAAAATATGATTTCTGATGCACTTTACACTAAATTATAAAGACAAAATTTTATAGAAAGAGGCCCTTTTAGCAAATACTTGCTTAATTTGGGCACAGATATTGCACTTCAGTGTCTCGAACTCTACTAAAGAGTAGAGAATAGGTTACTGACAGAAATTTGTATAGTTTATGTATATTCTTTACAGAAAATGTATATACAAATTATATCATCAATATATTCTTCAAATAAAGGTAGAAAACATAAAAAGACAGAGACAAAAAAATAAGAGATATTTACACTAAGCGCTGTGCAATTTTGTACAAACACTAATAACAAAAACTGGAGACTAACAACAAATATCTAACAAAAAGACAAACAAAATATGAAACTATTTATACCATCTAATGTTATCTGAACAAAAGTTGAAATAAACTAAAAGTATTCTTGGAAAATCAGATATTTTCTAGTTTTCCATTTGCTATCTAATAGGCCTACAACAATCAGTGTGGGGGGGAAAAATCAATAATATTGCAAAATTTGGTAAAAATAAATGAAAAAAAAACTACTGTGCATCAGAAATACTATACATTACATATTAATATCTGTCGTGATTAGCCTTTCTGTACAAAAGGTATGACATTTTCTATTTCTTTTTAAAATATACATTTTAAATTAAACAAATTGTACATTTATTTTTATCTTTTGACTAAGGGTCTAGCTCTATATTCTAGTATTTGTGTCTATTTACATAGCTATTTACAAACTTAACAATTTGCAATATTCATTGAAATTGGATCATAAATTTTGATTTTATACATTATGTTGAAAAATGTAAATTAGCCATTGTAGCTTTACAGGGGATGTTCTTCCTTAATTGGAGAATCATCCCTAGAGGGTTTACCCTTTTTGCCTGCAGTGAAGGTTTTCAAAGGAATTATTTTAACTGAATCATCATTAGGATGAATTCTTTCGGACAGAGTTTAAAACTGAGATCTTGTACTAATTGGCACTCCATGATCAAGAGACAGTAGTCCTTCAGGTCCAGCCTCTTGACCCCAACCTTGCTGCAAACCCTTCAGTGGCTGTGCAGGACTGCGATGGTGTGCAGTTGCCTGTGGCAGTGGAGGGCTGTGGTGCAGTACAGCAGCCTGTGCTGGTGGGGGGCTATGGCTAAGAGCAGTAGCATGTGCTAGAGGAGGACTGTGTTGGAGAGCAGAGACCTGTGTTGGTGGAGGACTATGGCACAGTGCCATAACTTGGGTCACCGAAGGGCTATGGCAAATAGCAATGGTCTGTGTCACTGGAGGGCTGCAGCAAGGAGCAAAGGCTGGTGTCAGGGGTGGGCTGTGGCATAGAGCAGAGGCCTGTGTGTGTGAAGGGCTGGCATGGGTGAGAGAAGCTGGCATCCAGCAGGCATCGGAATGGCCCAAGATGAGACATTCTTGAGTGCAGTTGTCAGAGGCTTCTTCCACCATTGGTTGAACAGTTATTTCTGCAGCTGTTAGGGTGGGAAACAAATGATAAAAAATATATTACAAAGGCATATTTTAATTAGCTACTTAAATCAAAATTATAGTACAAAGGTACTTAAAATAAATCTTACTGTTACAGGAAAAATTATAAATATCTATCTATTGCCGAAACCAGTTTAGCTCAGAGGATAGAGCCTGCGGAGTGAAAGGTCCCAGGTTCGATTCTGATCAAGGGCATGTACCTTGGTTGTGGGCACATCCCCAGTAGCAGGTATGCAAGAGGCAGCTGATCGGTGTTTCTCTCACATAGATGTTTCTAACTCTCTAGCCCTCTCTCTTCCTCTCTGTAAAAAAAATAAATAAATAAAATAAAATAAAATATTTATCTATATATATAAAAGCCTATATGACCATTATGATGGGAAGACTGGCCAGTAGCTATGACATGCACTGATCACCAGGGGGCAGACATTCAATTCAAGTGCTATCACCTGGTGGTCAGTGTACTCCTACTGCCAACCTCCTGCTGCCGGCCAGCCTCCACAGCCCTTCCCCCTGGCTAGCTTGCTGACCCACCAACCTTGTGCAGCCCCTCCTCCCCAGGCCTGTCCCCATTAGCACTGACTGGGGTGACTGGCTGGCCAACCTGCAGCCCCTTCCCTGAGTATGCCTGCCCCAATCAGCCCAGATAGGGTGGCCACTCCTTCTGGCTGGCTGCCCCAATCATGGCCAATCAGAGCAGGTCAGCAGGCCAACCTTCCACAGTCCTTCTCCCTGGCCAGCCTGCACCAATAGACCCTGGGCAACCATCAGGGTGGGGGAATAGACATGATTAGACCCAATCACCGGCCAGGCCAAGGGACCCCATCAGTACACAAATTTGTGTACTGGGCCTCTAGTATACTGTAAGTACATTAGGGACTTACACTATTTTAACAACTGATTCTTGATTTCTCAGGAAATAATTCCTAAAGGAAAAGAAATAACCAGGAGTGGATGGATGGGTCTCATTTTCATAATTAGGATATTTTGGCCTGGTCCCCCAAATGAATATACTTTTAATTGTGTTTGTGACTATATATGGAAACTATGACCATTGATCTATACATTAGTCAGTTAATATTTGGCTTCTAACTAACACAAAGTAAGGACATAAGTGAAATGAATAGGAAAACCAGTCATAGAAACATATAATGAACTAACCAATTATAGCTAACCATTTGGTTAAGAGTCTAATTAATTAATTTGAGAATCAATAAAAATAATTTAGGTTAATTTGAAAACAGTTTATTAAACTCTAAAATGCCTTTTCTTTTAAGAATGAATATAGCTACAATTACCTCAAAGGTAATTGATTTCTGTATTTCTCATTTTCTGAAATCATGACAAATCAGTATAGAAACATAATGAACTACTTATATAAAGTACTTTGTACTAACTTAATACTTTCTAAAACTCTTTTATCAGGGCTCTGTAAAGTTTTCAAATGCCAATAGGTTTCAAATATCAGTAAGTACACCATACAAAGACTAGCAAAATCAAAATAGAGTAGCTATATCAATATAAAAATAACTTTAGAACAAATAATGTTATTAGCTATAATGAATGATATTGCATCATAATAAAAGGTTCATTTTCTAAGAAGACATAATCCAAAATTTAAAAATATAAATTCCTGATCCTATAAATCTTAAAAAAAATAGAGTCCAAATACTGTTATTATCCTATCACACTTACAACTAAAGAACAAGATGCATGCAAACTGACTTCCATTAAGACTAAATATCTCCATTAGGTAACCATTAACATTTCTTCATTTAAAAAATGTCCCTATGAGATTAAAATTTAAAATATCCTATCTTTTTACCTAATCATATTTGAGAAATAGTTAGAAAGATAGAGTTTGATGTATTTTGGGTGATATTAAATTATAAATTTTGTGCTGAAATATATGAATGCACATATGACCATAAAGAAAAAAATAATTTCCTGATCATCATAAAAGCAAATCATCTGGTAGACTTAAGTTTTACAAGAAAATAATACATTATAACTTCAACATTGAATCATTTGCCTATTTATGATAAGGAAATTCATACAGTCATTTTCACTGAAAGGAAATATTATAAGCATTCTTTTAAAGAGCTCAATTGAGATATAATTCACCATTTAAAATTAACAATCTAATAGTTTTATTATATTCAACAAAGTTGTGCAACTATCACACAATCAATTTGGGGATATTCTTATCCTATAAAAAGAAACTTGTCTACATTAGCAGTCTCAGCTCATTTCCCCCTAAACTCCACAGCCCTAAGAAACCATTAATCTACCTTTTATTTATTTTAGATATTAGCTAATTCTAAACATGTAATATAAATTAAATCCTTCACCTGGAGCCTTTTGTGCCTGGAATTATTCTACCTGATAACAAATTATAATACAAGTCTATAGCAATCAAAAAGCATGAGACTTGCATAAAAACAGACATAGATCAATGGAACAGAATAGAGAGCACATAAATAAACCTATACCTTTAAGTTTAACTAATATATGACAAAAGAGACAAAAACACAAAATGGAGCGAAGACAGTCTTTTCAATAAATGGTGTTTGGGAAAAAAATGAAACAAGACCACCTTCTTACACCATAGATAAGATTTAACTCAAAATGGATTAAAGACTTAATGTAAGACTCCATGCCATAAAAATCTAGAAGAAAACATAGGCAGTAAAATCTCAGACATTTTTAAAATTTATTTATTTTATTTATTATTATTTTTCATTTTTTATTAAGGTATTATATTTTCATAGCAATATTTGTTATGACATATTGCCTCAGGCAAGGGAAACAAAAGAAGAAATAAACAAATATGATTACATCAAACTAAAAAGTTTTTTACACAGCAAAAGAAACCATCAACAAAACAGACAACTGCTGAAACCGGTTTGGCTCAGTGGTGGAGCGTCAGTCTGACCGGGTTCGATTCCGGTCAGGGGCATGTGCCTGGGTTGCGGGCACATCCCCAGTGCGGGGTGTGCAGGAGGCAGCTGGTCGATGTTTCTCTCTCATCGATGTTTCTAGCTCTCTATCTCTCTCCCTTCCTCTCTGTGAAAAATCATCAAAATATATATTAAAAAAAAACAGAAATAAAACAAAACAGACAACTTACTAAAATGGGAGATATTTGTCAATGATATATCCAATAAGGGATTAATATCCAAAACTATAAAGAACTCATACAAATTACCAATAAAACAAGCAATTTAATTTAAAAATGGACAGAAAATCTGAATAGACAATTTCCCCAAAGAAAACATATAGATGGCCAATAGAACATTTAAAAGATGCTCAAAGTCACTAATCATCAATGAATTGCAAATTAAAATCACAATGAGATATGAGGAGCTAACATTGATAAAACAACAAAAAACAATGTTGTTGAGGATGTAGGAAAAAGAGAACCCCTTGCACTGTTTGTGAGGATGCAGATTGGTGCAGTAACTGTGGAAAACAATATAAAGTTTCCTAAAAAAATGTATATAATAATTACCTTATTACCCAATGATTTCATTTCTGGGTTTATATATCTGAAGAAATTCAAAGCACAAGTTCAAAAGAATATATGCACTCTCATGTTCATTGCAGCATTATGGAGAATAGTGGATATATGGAAGCAACCCAAGTGCCCATCAATAATTGAGGGGATAAAAAAGCAGTGGTACAATATATACAATGGAATATTACTTGGTCATAAAAATAATAAAACCTTACTATTTTTAACAGCATGGATGGACTTAGAGGGTATTATGTTAAGTGAAATAAGTTAATCAGACAAAGACAAATTCCATATGATTTAACTTATTCATGAAATCTAAAGAGTACAATAAACAAAATAGGAACAGACTCACAGATACAGACTGCTGATTGTTAGAGGGGACAGATGTCAGAGAGATGGGTGGAAAAGTTCAAGGTATTAAGAACTACAAAGTTGTAGACACAAAAGAGTAATGGGAATATAAAGAAGTGGATAGAGAATATTGTCAATAATCTAAACTAGTAAAATGGGAATATGCTAAGTAGACCAAATAGACCAGACGTCTTCCAGACGTCCTTCTCGACAAAAGCCACAGTTACGAGAGCCGAGGCAAGCCTCCATGGCTGGGAGGGCCCATTGCAGAGCCCCAGGCTAGGTGGGCAGGGCCTCCCTGTGGGTGGCGATGAATGGCAAAGCCCAGGCCAGGTGGCAAGAACCTACCTCTGCTCTGAGATTGATTACAGAGCCCCAGAACGGGGCTGGAGAGTGTTGGAGGGGGGAGGTAAGAGATCAACCAAAGGACTTGTATGCCATCAGTATTACTTGTAACATTTTTAGTTTAATAGAGAATTTATCAGACATAGATTCTCCTTTTCAGTAAATGGGAAAAGCGCCCTTTGGTTTACATATACTATGAAAGATGTAACAGAATTATTAGTGACCAGTAAATGTAGCCAATGACATTCATCCAATAATCTTGGCTAATTTTTGCTAATGATTTGCTAAATGGATTTGATAATAACTATTGCTACTCCATAAAGTAGGATACCTGTTTTTATTTACATTGAGGAAACGGACACAGTTACCTTATTTCAATAACTCATTTGGAAAAATATCCTCAGTTCAGTCTTAATCCATTCTACTCTTTTGAATAAATCTTACAGGAAATAGAAGTTGTTTTTTACATATAAAAATTAATGCTACCATTATAAACTTCTCCTTCTATAAATTCCAAGAGTTTCTAGTAAGCATAATAGGTCCTTCAAGCAGAGTTGTCTTAGAATCCCGAATCATTAATAACAAATGCTGTCCAATTTATTTAATACTAAAGTCTATTCCAGTTATATGGCAATACATGTTACCTCCTGTGTTGAGCATCTGTCCCATGGTGGTCAGTGGGCATCATAGTGACCAGCCATTCAATCTAATTGCATATTAGCCTTTTATTATAAAGGACTAGAGGCCTGGCACATGAAATTTGTGCACAGG